GTGGAGCCTCGGGGGGCGGGTCTGTGGGGCAGAGGGGTGGAGCCTCAGAAGGGAAAGGCTCTGGAGAGCATAGGGGTTGGAGTCTCAAAGGGTCTGGTGCTGTAGGCACAGAGGGGTATGGGTGCAGATGGGCAGGACCACAGGCAGGGTAGGGCAGGTGGCAGGAAAACCCTGGGCAGCAACAGGCCCACCGCCTTCAACGAGCTCCGTCCCCAGCTCACCCAGGTGCGGTGGAGGGCGGCTGCAGGTGCACGGTGGTGTTGAACAGCTCCAGGTCCACATCCTCCACCTCGTGGCCACGACAGCCCCCGGGCTGCGTCACTACCGACACGCCCACCACATTGCCCACCACGTCCACGTGCAGGGTCAGCTGGTCCGAGAGGTGTGACTCCACCAGGGAGCACTGCAGGGGGGCGTGGACAGATCAGAGGGCGTCATCAGGACCATAAGGCTGTGGCTTCGGCCATATCTGTTACCCAGGACCCCTCCCAGGTTCACATCACCCTTCAGGACAAGTCCGCGTCCACAGGGCTCCCCAAGGCCTCCACAATGCCCTGTGTGCCCCCTCCACCCACAGTGGGGGACCCCAAGGCTGGGTCGGGCCCTGTGTCTAGTCAGCTCTGGGGGCAGGGATGGAGGTGGTGGGAGGACAGCGGAGGGGCTGGTCACTGACTCACAGCAGGGACAAAGGAGGAGACGTGGCCACCAGCTTCCAGGTCCTCAGCAAGCCCAGGGCGCCTGGGAACTCGGACGCGGTAGAGGCCATTCAGGGCTGCCACATCCTGCAAGAAGGGGGTGCCAATGAGGGGACACAGGCCACCCTAACAGGCCTCGTGGACCACAGTCCCAGTAGGGCCAAGCGAAGTCCTGCTGGCTGCCCATACCTCCACCGTGTGCAGATGACCACAGCCCTGAAAATTCGGCCAGGGGTGAGAGGGGCTCGGGGATAGGTGCTCCGGCAGGGAGAGAGGGTGCAGGGGGGCCACCCAGCCTGGGACCCCGACTCACCCGGAGGCGTCCCCGCTCCTCCTCGCTGAGCTGCCGCTGGGACAGGGACAGGGTGCCATCCTGCTGGTTCCAAAGCAGCGAGCCCCGTTTCCGGAAGTTCACTGCGTCATCTGTGGGGAGCCCAGGCTCAGCAGCCACCCTCCCACAGCACCAGCTACCCCTCTGAAGGGGGAAAGAGGCCCAGATTCGAGCTGCAGCCTCGCCTGTGCCCTCTGAGGGGCTGGAACACACCACCCCGCTCTCCCCTCCTGCCCCAAAGGGCAACAGAATTCTAGACTCCTGAGTCCTGCCTCTGCCGTTGTCAGGGGACCTCAGGAATGGTCATGTGAACTCCCTGAACCTCAGTCTCCCCTGCCGCTGCAGAATTTGAGGTCATGGAGCCCAGAAACCCCAAACGTGTAGCTACTGGAACCCAGGGACCCGTTGCTGACAGGCTTCAAGGTCCAGCTCAGCAGGTCTGGGGGAAGGGCAGGGCCAGGATCCCTTCCACACAGTGTCTGGACAAGTCCTTCCAAACTTATGAAATCCTACAGGAGAGAGGAGAACTGGCCCATGAGATGCCCAAGGCTGTCACAGACATAAGCACGACCAGGCCGCTCCTTAGATGCAAGGATAATGAGGCAGGGGACCCTTTACCAGGAGGGGCTGGTCTCTGGAGAAGGGAGAAATACCTGTCATCTCCTCTCATTCAGTTTCTCTTTATGGAAGCGCATAAAGGTCACATCTTTCTCCTACAGAACAACTAACTGGTGGGTTGGAGGGCTGATCTTTAGGTTAGTAGCCCAGCGTTGAACCATAGCACCACCAAGGGCTCTCCTAAAACCCCAAACCTTAGAGGAGCTCTGGTGGCCTAGTGGCAAGAAACTGCACTGCGATCCCAGAGGTGCACAGTTCAAATCCACCAGATGCTCTGCTGGGAAAAGGAGGGACAATCTCCTCCTGTACCAGTCAGATCTGATTTGACGGTACACACACACACAAAATAATCAAATTTTAAAAAAACAACCCCAAACCTATTACCATCAGGCCCGTTTTGGCTCACAAATGACCCTTTGTCAGGTCTGCAAGGCTTTAATTCTTTATAGGAAGAAACTGCCTCCTGGGATGGGGGAGGAGGGAGGGGGATGAGGGAGAGGCAGGAGAGATTCGCAACTAGATAGCAAGGTCTCCACAGGATGTTACAATTGTAATTAAAATTATAAAACAAATGAATGGATGAAAATGATTTTTTTTCTAAAGGATTAAAAGGAAAACTGCGTTTTTCTCATGGATTCGAACTTGGCCATCAGCAGCCATATACTATATCAACAGGCCATCAGCGTGACATATGCATAACTAGGGCTCCTTGACAAAAGACATTAAGCATAGTGTGTCTCTTCCCACGCTGTCCTCTCCAGGAGGAAGCAGTTTGTAAATGATGGTCACCAAACAGCACCCAGGCCCAAGTCCTGATTCCCAGGGCCACCGGAGGGTGAGACCAGATATGGGCAGACTCACTGAGCTCAAACGAGTGTTCCAGCAGCAGACCCACCGTGCCGCAGCCCTCGCCTTCCCGGCCTTCTGTCCCTGCCTGCAGGAGAAAGGGGCCAGATGAGACCACGCGTCCTGAGCAGGGCAAACCCACTGGTCACTAGGGCAGACAAGAGTCTCACCAACCCACGGCCCTACAGCACCGACCAGAGTTGCGATTCTGGGTTTCCCAGGTTGTAAACTTTCTCCCCTGTTGGATTCAAACCACTGATTTCTCACTGACCTCGCTAGTCAGTTACTAGCTTTACAGGGGTCAAGGGATGACTCTGGCCCAGGGTTCCACTGTAAACTACACAAATGAGTATTTCTAATCTGGATTCTTCCCATCCCCATCCCACCAAAACGGAGCTCCATTATGCAGGTCTTGCCTAACACACATAATCATAATTAAAAGGCACCTTCCGGGTCTGGTTTTCATTGTAACAGCCCGAATACGCGCCTGCCTCAGCCCTGCCCCCTCATTTATATATTAACATTTTACCTGTCCCAATTTTCAAAAATTCTTAAAATTATGTATTTCACGGACCTTGTGCCCACGCAATTTTATTGCCCTATTAAAGTATCTGCCCTATAACATATATTCACGAGGCAACGACATGCCCGGACCTTTATGCATATTCACGAGGCATTCCTCCCTTCGAAAAACTGTCCGCCCTCCTCGCAATGTTATGTGCCGTCGAGTCACTTGCAACTCATAGCAACCCTGTGTACCACAGCCCTAAACTCTGCTCTGTCCTGTGCCAATCGCACTGTCTCTGACACTCCCATCCCGACTACCCCAATCACTGAATGAATCCACCTCATAAAGGGCCTTCCCCTCCTGAGCTGTCCCTCCACCCTCCCAAGCATGATGTCCTTCTCCACGGACCGGTCTCTCTTCACAACATGTCCAAAGTATGTTAGACGGAGCCTCAGAATCCTTGCCTCCAAGGAGCCACCTGGTTTAGCCCTTTCCAGGACAAATCTGTTTGTTTTCCTAGCAGTCCATGGTATTCTCAATACTCTTCTCCAGCACCACAGCTCAAAGGCATCAATTCTCCTTCTATCCTCCTTGGTCATTGTCCAACTCTCTGATGCATAACAAGTGATTGCGAAGACCATGGCCTGTATCAGACGCACCTTAGTCTCCAGAGAGACACCATTGCTCTTCAGTACTTTGGAGAGGTCCCTAACAGCAGACTTTCCCATGGCAATGCGCCTTTTAATTTCCTGGCTGCTGGTGCCAAGACTGTTGACTGTGGAGCCAAGCAAACTAAAGCTGTGTACAATCTCAATCTCTTCACCATCCATCCTGATGCTGCCAATTGGTCCAATGGTGAGAATCTTTGTCTTCTTGACATTGAGCCTCAATCCATATTGTAAGCTGCAGTCCTTGACATTCTGCAGCAGGTGCTTCAGGTCCTCTTCAGTTTCAGCAAGCAGGGTTGTGTCATCTGCATAACGCAGATTGTTGATAAATCGTCCACCAATCTTGACCCAACATTTCTCCTCATAGAGCCCAGCCTCCCTGATAATCTGTTCTGCATATAGGTTGAAAAGGTATGAAGACAGGACACATCCCTGGCGTACGCCTTTCCCAATTTTGAACCATGCAGTGTTCCCTTGCTCTGTTCTGACGACTGCCTCCTGGTCCAAGAATAGGTTTCGCATTAGAACGATCAAGTGTTCTGGTATTCCCATTCTTCTCAGAGTCAGCCACAGTTTGTTACGATCCACACAGTCAAATGCCTTTGCATAATCAATGAAACACAGATAGACATTCCTCTGGTATTCCCTGCTTTCAGCTAAGATCCATCTAACATCAGCTATGCTCCTCGCAATAACTGTCTTTAATCTGATTGGCCAAGATTCCACACAGGGCACACCTCCTCATGCATATTCATGACTGCCGCTCCAACAGCCTATAGCCCGCTCTGGCCACGCCCCCTCATGTCTATCCATGAGCCAACTACTTCCTAACGTTTCTGCTGTTTTTTTTCCCAGTCCGTGCGCGCGCTCTTGTATTGCTTGCAAGGCTGTAGCCTCATTTACCACCTTTCTTTCACCTCATTTTCCCTGGCGGACCTGTACAGCCTCCTTTCTACCTTAATAATAATAAAACTGGCCGCAGACCTGTATTCCGGTCGACCCCGCCTCCTGTACACAGCCAATAAAAGCTTACCCCCCGTGCCGCGGTCCCGGCCCGACAGCCGCTGCCCCGGGCCCGACTGGGCGCAGCTGCCGCCATCAGCAAAAGCAGGAGCAGCCGCGTAGCCCCAGCGCCGGCCGCCGCCATTTCTCCGCGTCCCTACCTGTCACAGGCTCCTTGGGGGCGGAGCGCCGCGGAGCATGCCGGGACACCGCCCACGCGCCTGCGCGACTCCTGGCGCCTGCGCGCTGACGTCACCGCGCAAGGGAGGCGCGGCGTCAGCGAAGCGACCGCCTCCTCATTCCTTTTGGGCTCTGGGCCCTCCCCCCCCGCTCTCGTGACGTCATCACCCCCGCACCTTTCTCGATGACGTAGTCAAGCTGGCATATTGTGACATCATAAAGTCCATGCCCCCCCCCACGTTGTTTGTTGGGGCGCTTCTTGCTACTGTCCGACATGGACGGGAGCATCGAGATGAAGGGGAGCAAGGCAAAGCAGGTCCCTGGAGCAGGTGAGTGGGCGCCAGGTGGAATGGGGCAGGTGGAATGCCAGGTAAGGGGCAGGACAGGAATGAAAGTGAGGGACAGGGGCAGAGTTGTAATCCGATGTGGGACCGGGAAGAAGTCCAAGGGCCTTAGAGGGGACGTCGTCCCCAGGCTCAGCCTCCTGACATGGACCTCGGAACTTCGTCCTTCTAGAACATTCCATGGCCCCAGACTGCCCTGCAGGCTCGCCTGGCCGGCTCCAGCGCCATCTCTGGAGCGGCGAATTTGATCAGCTGCGGGACTTCACTATCTTTGAGAGCAACTTCGTGCAGGTAGTGGGGCCCCGGATCGCCCTCATGCCCTAAAGTCTTGGGATGACCCCCTCACTCAGAATTTAGGGAACCTTTGCTCTCTTTGCTTCTTTCCAATCTCTCATCCATTCCCAGTTCTGCCCCCAAGCTACCCTGCCTCTAACCTCTGACCTCTGGCTCCAGGTGACCCGGTTAGGAGAAGTTGCCAATAAGGTGATCATGGGAGTGGCAGCCTCCAGTCCAGCCCTGGATCTGCCGGATCTCTTGCTGCTCGCAGGCCCTGCCAAGAACCGCGGCAGCCTGCAGCTCTTTGGGTAACTGCACCCACCCATTCTCCCTCCTCAACTATGGGCATCCCCTTCTCCCCAAGCCCCTCCTCTCGCCCAGATGACCCGCAGGGCCTGGGATGTCTGCCACCTTCGTTGGGCTGCCTTCCACCCCCAGGAGATCTAGGACAGAGCCACACGCAGGGCCTGGAAAGCAGATAGGCCTAAGAGGGCAGTGGTAGAACTCCTCCTTTCTGTGTAGAACAAAGAACCCTAGGGGCCCAGTGGTTAAGTGCTCAGCAACTCAAACCCATCAGCTTGACTCTTTGGGAGAAAGATGTACACTCTGCCTCCATGATGGTTTCAGCATCAAAAACTCTGTAAGTCAGTTCTCCTCTGTGTATAGGATCACCGTCAGAACTGACTTGATGGTAGTGGGTTTGGGTTTTCTGGTTTGATGCAGGACACCCAGGTTCGATTCCCTCATGCCAGCATCAGCGGAGACCTGCCTAAAGGCCAGTATGAGCTGGAATTGGCAGTGGGCTGGAGTTGGTGATGGGTGATGCAGACGTACAATATGCAGCTGCTAAGGAATGCACAGATATGTCTTGAAGAAGGTACCAGGATGCTCCTTGAAGGCAAAGAAAGCAAAGCTTCATCTCTCATACTTTGGGCATGTTGCTAGGAGAAGCTATTCCTTGGAGAGGCATATCACATTTGGAAAGGTGGAAGATTAGGGAAAGAGAGGAAGACCCCTAATGATGTGGATTGACGCAGTGACTGGAGCAGTGGGCTCAAGGGTATCAAAGATAATAAAATGGAACAGCTCTCAGGCTTGTTCTTAACAGGGTCACTATGTGTCATACTCAACAGCATATAATAAGAAGCAACAACAACAGCCTTTTGGTAATATGTACTTTCAGCCGTGATCCATCTGACATCAACAATTGTATCCTTGGTGCCACAGCCTCTTCTAAATCCAGCCTGAATCTCTGGCAGTTCTCTCTTAATGTACTGTTCTAGCCATTTTAAAAATAATCTTCAGCAGGACAGAGTTTGGTGGAGCTCCCCGATTAAAACAAGCTTGGAAGCAGGAAGTGGCATCCACTTCCGAAATAGCTCGCCTCCGAGAACCCTATGAACTCTATGAATGTAGAGAAAGGATGAAAGTTATACAAGTGTTTAGGACTTTGGCCATCTATGACTCGATGGCACTTAACAACAACAACAACAATATAGAGGTTGGAAGTTTGAACCCATCCGTATGTTCCTTGGAAGAAAGGCCTGAAGATGTATGAAAAATTGAGAAGCATGTGGAGAGGCTGTTGGGTTCAAATCATTGACCCCAGCCTACAGCGTCACCAAGCGGCCGAGCTAACTCAGTGACAGTGGGTTTATTTGCTGAGCACCTGCTGTGTGTAACGAACAGCTCACAGTCAATGAGGAGGCAGACTAAACACTAAATGGGGTGTTAGGTGGGGGAAGGTCGGGGAGACGTACAAGACAGGGAAGAGCACGTAGGTGCCCTCGAGGAAGACCTGAGGACGAAGAATCCGGGTGCACAGTTGGGCAGAGGGAACAGCCTGTGCAAAGGTCCTGAGGCAGCCTGCTCTGGCGTTTACCAGTGCCTGGTGCTTTAGAGAAACCTTGAATGATGGAGGCAGGAGAATGTGGACAGGAATGCAGGGAGGGAACCATCCATCTCCAGGGCCCCAGGGGCCACCCTGAGGACTAGATTTTTACTCTCTGGAAGGCAGAGCCAGGGAGGGCTCCAAGCCAAGAAGGGAGGCAGCAGATTCATGGTTTTTGCTCGCACCCTCTTGTGTCCATGTAGGGAACAGATTAGTGGGCAAGCAGAGAGGTAGGGGAAAAATAAAAAGAGGAGGTGAGGTCACCCAGCAGGAACAGGGGGGAATGGTCTGAGAGGCACCACTGAGAGGTGTACCTCTCAGAGATGGCTGTTTCTGCAAAAATGCTAATAGCGACCACCTCAATAAGGCTAATATCACAGTAAAGGGAGTCAAGATGCATATTTTAGTCTCCCACTGGAGATAAATTTAAATTTACACTATGAAGGGTCATCTATGAAATTGGCCCAGGTGGCGCTGTGGTTAAAGCATTCAGCTGCTAAACCTGGAGGTCTGTGGGTGCACCCCACCAGCCCCTCTGCAGGAGGAGGTGGTCCCTCCCTACAGCATTGTTTTTGTTATGCTGAGGTGCCTTTGAGTTGAATATGACTCACAGCGGCTCTGTGAACAGCAGATCAGAACCCTGTCTTATCCTCGATGTATGTTGGGGCCCTTCTACTCTATTCCCAAAGAAAGGTGACCCAACAGAGTGTGGAAACTATATCACATGCAAGCAAGATTCTGCTGAAAATTATCCAACATGACCGGAACTGCACATCAGAAGAGGTCATGGTACTAGGGATATAATAGCTAATGGATCTTGGCTGAAAGCAGGGAGTACCAGAGGAATGTCTGTCTGTATTTCATCGACTATGCAAAGGCATTTGACTGTGTGGATCTCAACACACTGTGGCTAACTCTGAAAAGGATGGGAATCCCAGAACACTTGATTGTGTTTATACAAAACCTGTACTTGGAGCAGGAGGCAGTAGTCAGACCAGAGCAAGGAAAACACTGCAAGGTTCAGAATCAGGAAGGGTATGTCCTATCTCCATACCTTTTCAATCTGTATGTGGAATAGATCATCTGGGAGTCTAGGCTGTATGAGGAGGAATGTGGCATCAGGATTGGAGGAAGAATCATCAACAATCTGCATTATCCAGATGATAGAACCTTGCTTGTGGAAACTGAGGACCTAAAGCGCTTGCTACAGGAGCTCAGGGACTGCAGCCTTCAATATGGACTGAAGCTAAAGCTCAAGAAAACAAAGATTCTCACCACTCGGCCAATTGGCAGCACTGTGATAGTGAAGAGATTGAGATTGTTAACAGCTTTAGTTTGCTTGGCTCCATAATCAATACCCTTGGTACCAGCAGCCAGGAAATCAAAAGATGAATTGCACTGGGAAAGTCTGCAGTCAGGGACCTCTCCAGAGCACTGAAGAGCAATGATGTCAGTCTGGAGACTAAGGTGTGCCTGATATGGGCCATGGTCTTTGTAATTACTTGCTGTCCATTGGAGAGCTGGACAATGACTAGGGATGATAGGAGAATTGATGCCTTTAAGCTGTGGTGCTGGAGAAGAATATTGAATGGAGAACAAACAGTGTTGCAGACCTGGAAAGCGTTTAACCAGGCTGCTCCTGGGAGGCAAGGATTCTGACACTCCTTCTGACATTTTGAGCATGTTGTAAAGAGGGACTAGTCCTTGGAAAGGAGCATCGTGTTTGGGAGGGTGGAGGGACAGTGCAAGAAGACCCTCTATGAGATCGATTGACAGAGTGATGGGGGTAATGGGGGTAGGTGTGTCAGAGACAATAAGGTTGTCTCAGGATAGAGTGGGGTTCAAGCTATTGGTCGCTATGAGTTACAAGTGACTCAACAGCACGTAACAACAACTCTGTTCTGTCCTATGGGGTCACTGTGAGTCAGAATCAACTTGACAGGAGTGGTTTTGGGGTCTGTCTTTAAAACTCTGTAGTGAGGGGTTGAGTCGGCAGCTGGCCTGGTTCTACTCTGGAAGGTGCTTTCTCGCGTCTTGATGGGAGGTCACGTAAGGAAAGTTTTGGGTTGTGTTTGATTTGTGACATTGGGTTTTCTTCCTTCCACAAGCGGGTATCAGTTGGCCTTTGGCCCCTTTTGGCCAACAAGGACTCCAGGGCGGAGGCCTGCTGAAGGATGTGTCTTTAAAACTCCATAGATTTTAGAATAAACATTCTCTTAAGTGGCACAGCAGTTTTTTGTCTGTGTGCTGTACTGAATAACCTGGAGTTGCTGTGACGCTGAACACTGTGCCACAGCTGTGTCAAATACCACATTGGTTACCCATCATGGACAGTGTTTGGAGGAGCTTCCAGATTGATTCCTCTTTGGAAGCAGGAGTGGCATCCATTTTCTAAACCAGATGCCTCTGGAAACTCTATTTAATCGTACAGAAATGATGTTAGAGAACAGAATTCAGTTCTTTTGTTCATAGGGTCACCCCGAGTCGTATTCGACTTGAGAACACATAACCACTGTTAAGTGAGACTGTTGTTGTTGTTGTTGTTATGTGCCGTCGAGTCGTTTGCGACTCATAGCGACCCTATGCACAACAGCCCTAAACCCTGCTCTATCCTGCACCAACCACACTGCCTCCGACACACCCATCCCGATTACCCCAGTCACTGAATCAATCCATTTCATAGAGGGTCTTCCCCTCCTGCGCCGTCCTTCCACCCTCCCAAGCATGATGTCCCTCTCCAAGGACCCGTCCCTCCTGGCAACATGTCCAAAGTATGTCAGACGAAGCCCCAGAATCCTTGCCTCCAAGGAGTTGCTTGGTTTAATCCTCTCCAAGATGAATCTGTTTGTTTTCCTGGCAGTCCTTGGTACATTCAGTACTCTTCTCCAGCACCACAGCTCAAAGGCATCAACTAGTGTTGTTATATTTGGAGGAATTTTCTACTTTGTACAGGTAATCTGTGTTTGCTGTGATGCTGAACCTTGTGCCATGGGGATATCAAATACCATAATGGTTTCCCAATGTGGACCGTGTTTGGTGGAGCTTCCAGTTGTAAAACAGGTTGGGAAGCAGGAGTGGCATCCACTTCCTAAACCACATGCTCTGGAAACTATGACCTTGGAGAAACGATAGCTATGGAAAGGCATTAGGTCTTTTGTTCATAGAGTCACTATGAGTTGTACATGATGGCAATCAACAAGAAATCTGTGAAGCCTAGGAAGGGTTATCTTTAAACCCAAGGCCAAAGCCCACTGCCACTGAGTCCCTTCCAACCCAAGGCCACCCCCCATTGTCTCTCTGAGTTTAGGAGGGAGATGGGCCAACGGGACCCCTAGGGGAGAGCAACATTTGTGGGGGGCTGTCGAGTTTATCCCATACAGCAGGGTTTGCCCAGTGTTTCCGGGCCTGCAACCTCCCGGAGCCCACTTCTAGATCTTTCTCTCACAGATCCCTGGGTAGGTTTGAACCCCCAGCCCTTCTGTTTTCGGAACCAGGGTCTGGCTGGAGGGAGGTCTGGAGACATCTCAGTGGTGGATTTAGATCGGTGTGTTTGGAAGTAAAGAGCAGATTGAAATTCAGGAGACAGCAGGCAAGCGACCGTCTGTCTCACAGATAGGGTCCCTGGTGGCGCGGTGAATTACGGGTGGCTGCTAACCGAAAGATTGGCTGTTGGAACCCACCAGCCAGTGCGCTGGGAGAAGCCGCGTCTTTGGAAAGATTTACAGCCTTCGAGGCCTGTGGGGTCCCTGTATTCCGCCCTGCAGGGTCCGCAGGAGGCAGCACTGACCCTCCAGCCCAGCCCAGCCCCCAGGGCGGTGGGGGCCTCTCCCAGGCTGGGGGGTGGGGTGGGCAGGTGGGTCCCTGACTGCGCCCTCCGCCGCCGCCCAGGCTCTTCCCCTTGCAGTCGGTGCAGCTCTTCGTGCACAGCCAGTGTCGCTGTCAGCTCAAGGTCAAGTTCCCCACGGGCCGCACCTTCTACCTGCAGCTGCGGGCCTCGCCCGAGACCCGGGAGCACGAGTTCAGCCGCTGGGTGCGCCTCCTCTACCGCCTGCGCTTCCCCCGGGCTCCGGGCGCAGAGCCCTTTGCACAGGACAGCTCCCTGGAAAAGGAGGCCGCTGTGCGCGGGAAGGGCGAGGAGGTGAAGGGGGGACCGGACGGGGTGAGGAGCCACGGTGGGTGGTTCCTGGTTAGGGGAGGAGAGGGGAGAAAAGGGCTGGGGTCCCTGAGGACCGCGGGATCTGAGGAAGGAGGCTGGTGGGAACCGGGATCCCTGCATCCGAGGATAGAGGGGCCTGGGGGGATCACTTGGGTCTAAAAGAGGCGGCGGCTGAAGGCCCAGGGAGAGAAGGGCTGGGGGCCTGGACTCCCAGACTAATGAGAGGAGTTCGCTGGGGACTTGAATTCTTGGTCTGAAGGAAGAGGGAGGGGCAAGGGGCCTGGGCTCCTGGGCCAGTGAAGAGTGTTGGAGACCCAAATCGCTGGGTCCAAGTAAAAAGAAGGGGGCCTGGACTCCCAGACCAGTGAGAGGAGTGTGCTGAGGACCTGAATTCTAGTCTGAAGGAAGGGGGGTGGGGGTGAGGGAGCCTGGACTCCTGGGCCAGTGGGAGGAGGGGACTGGAGCTCCTGCATCTGAAAAAGGAGGGGTCAGGAAGCCCAGACTCCTGACCAATTGGTCCTGGACCAATGTGAAGCCTGAGTGAGGGTGAAGGCAGGGAGATCTCAGAGCAGAGCAGCCCACCGGGCCACCCCTGATGCTTCTTGCTGAGGTCTGAGGCGGCCGCACCTTCCTTGTTTTGGACCACCCAGGACCCCCAGCCTCTCTCTCTGACCTGCTATCTAGGAAGTGACTGCGTGTGGGGCCTCTTCCTCTCCAGAAACCCCTTCTCTGCCCCAGAACCCCAGGGGCCCCAGGCCTCTCATAGCTCTCTCTCCTCCCCAGACTCTGTCTACAGAAGTTCAGCCGGCTGGACCCACAGATCTCAGAAGTCTGGGGGATTAACTCCCCCACCAACTTTTGAGCTCATTCAAGGACCAGAGATGACCTGTGCCCTCCCTCAGGACCAGACATATCGTTAAATAAAGATGAGTTAATTGAGAAGCAGCCCCCAGCCCTGTGAGCAGTCCTGACCTGGTCTTCAGCAGTTCCACACGGCTGCCGCCTCCAGTCCACCTTCCATAACTCCTCCGTAATCCCCCGCCTGTCTGAAGCCACCCACCTTAATACCTTTCCCAGGCTGGCTGGCTCACAATGGCCCTGAGTCCTTGTACTCATAGCACACCAGGGTTACCTCAGCAGGGTAGAGGTCTCGAGATGACACCCCCACTGTACAGATGCCTCAAGTGTGTGAGTGCCCAGGAAAGTAGCTGTCACCCCACCCCATGGCTAGCTCAGCATGGCTGGCCTCCTGGTTCCCCGATGGTGGCTGCCATTCCGGCAAAGCGGGCCCCATCACCAAACCCAATGTGACCCCTCTCAGGTGTAGATTGAAGGACACGCGCGCGCACACACACACGTGAGAATCCGAGTCAAGACTCAGGGTTTCGTGTTCTGAGTGATAATTCCAGAAAGGGAGGCGCAGGGAGGACTTCACTGTGGCACTGTGGGGGAAAGGAGAAGGGCGGCGGCTAAGAGGCCCTGGTGGCACCAGAGGGCGGGTGCTCAGCCGCTGTCTGAAACGTTGGCACTTCAGCACCACCCAGAGGCCCGGGAAGCCCTAGGGGACGGCCCTGTGGGGGGCTCGATGGGACACTGAGAGCAGCAATGAGGGTGCTTCAGGGATGGGACCCCGGTACACCCTTTGTGTACACCCACTCCCTTGTGGTGCTCACCCCCTTAACTAGAGGGAATGGAGCTGGCCTGAAAGGTCACGGCCTTGAGACCTTACAGAGGCAAACCTGCTCCCACAAGGCTCCCAATTCCTCCTCCTCCTTCACTCCCCTCTTTCTTCAGCTCCCTTGGAAAACCTTCCCGGACACCCTGCCCCTCCCCCCTCCTGCCCAGGCTGGTCAGGCGCTGCCCCATTCCAGCTCTTGTCATACCCTGGGCTGCTTTCATTATTCTGACACGGAACATTCTGTGTCTGAATTCAGCTTCCCAGTTAGAGGGCTGGTGCCGACTCCTCCCTGGATTCTCCTTGTTTGGCTTGTGGCCCCTGGCTCTGTCTGTAAAGGGCCCGAGTGTGTGTGTGTGTGTGTGTGTGACCCCTACATCCTCACCTTTGACGTCCAGCCGGCACTCGGCCAATGCCTCCCCGAGCTCATTGACCGCCCGGCAGGAGTAAGTTCCTGCGTCGAACGGGGAGGGGCGGCGGATGTTGAGGGTCAGGACCCCTTGGTGATTGGTCATCAAGAACTTGGGGTCTTCACGGATCTCCATCTTGTTCTTCATCCAGACCACCTTCGGCTATTGGGGGTGGGCAGGAGAGGAGGCAGAATCAGAGAGGGTCCCTGGGTGATGGCACAGGGAGGTTCTGAAGCAGATGTGGATTCTAGTCTTGACAGAGTCTAGAACCAGCCACTTCACTCTGACCCTCAGTCTCCTCTTGCATAAAAGCAGCTGAAACTTTCTACTTTATTGGGGTAGTATTTAAGGGCTCCCCTTCTGCTCTCCAAACAGGAGACCCTGGCTGTGGAATGGTTAAAGATTCAGCTGTGAACCAAGGGGGCTAGCAGTCTGATTAATGGCACTCTGCCCCCAACATACAGACTTCTAGTCTGGCTCTTCAGCCCCTGGGAAGCCTCTGAAAATACACGTTGAAAGAATAAATTAGGCAAATGCAGTGAGTGAAATGAATGAATGAAGGTGTTGGTAAGTGAATAAATGAGTGTACAACAGCTGTGCTCACCACTGTACCACTCACACGAATGTGTGGAGTTACGATATAACTTGAATGGAAAAGCTAACGGAATGACACGATGTCTTCTGCTAAATGAAGGGGCTGGAGTTGAAAACCTGAAGTCTGGATCAGGGGCTGGCAAACTGCTGCCATAAAAGAGAAATGGTTTTGCTTTGCCGGCCACACAGTCACTGCTGCAACTACTCAACACAGCTCTTAGAGCACAGAGGCAGCGGTGTAGCTGTGTTCCAATAAAACTTTATTTACAAGAGCAGTGGACCCCAGTCCTCAGTCTGCCAACTGTTATATTCTAGCTGAGTCACCAGACCTCAAGGTCGCAGGAGTTCACATTCCCAAACATCATTCTGGAAATGGATGGAACGAGAAGACTCTGGGGAGGCATAAACCGCTAAACCTGCTGATGGTTTCTGTTTCGGAAGGGACTGACGTGTGTCCTTGGATCAAATGAGAGACAGACTGACCACTTCCTCAGCTGCCAAGAGAGGCGGTCACCTGGCAGTCACAGGGCAGAGGAAAGGGCAGGAAGCCAGAGTGATTTCTGAGACCCTGGCTCTGGCCAGTGAAGGCGATAAGCAGGAAGGAGAAGGAAGACGCTCGACAGAAAGGGAGCAGTGTGGTTTTGCTGTCAGAAGTGGGCTAAAATGAGCAGAACCGAAGACACAGAGCTCGGTGGTGGTGAGCACGCATGGAGGGGAGTGGGGCTTCCTCTGACTGAAGATGTCCTTTTCCGGTTCTACACATAACACCCACCCAAGGATCTCAGTCCCTGTTCACCCAAGCCACCCCCCCCAACCCAGCACCTTGGGGTGGCCTCTGACAGCACAGTTGAGAGCAGCAGCATAGCCAGCCACGATCACGCGATCAATCAGGGGTGTCAGGAACTTGGGAGCTGTCCGGAAGTCATGCTCCTGGTACTCAAGTGGCTTGAAGGTAAGTCCTGGGTGAGAGGAGATAGCCGTGTGAGGTGACCAAGACCCCAGAATGTCCCTAAACCCATGAACAAGCCCGACCCTCTCTCCTCTCATCACCAGGTGGTGTCTACTTTGAATCCAGGGGAGAAGGAAAGAGAGGGCTCTAGGGTGGACCCCTGTGAAGGGCGATCGCTATACCTGTCTTAAGGATATGGGCTGTGTTCTTGGAGACGCCAGGTGAGTCGCTGAGTCCACAGATATTTTCACTGTAGACGCGGAAATAATACTCATTGCCCACAATGAGGTCGGACACAGTGCAGGAGGTTTGGCGAGTGTGTTCATAAACGTTGAACCACTCCTAGTTCAGGGACAGGGAGGGTCAGGCAAAAGAGGACAAACACACACACACACACAAGTGGACAAAGACACAAGAAGGACCAAGAAGTGAGAGGAGCAGACTTAGCGTACCAAACTTTAAGAAAACACATCAATTTTGATAAAAGATTTTATAGAAGAATCTTAACCAGAAGAGGGAGAAATGCAGAACAGAATTTTAAATTTTTGTGGAATCCAGACTTTCTGGATCCACAGAGACTGAACTAAGCCCCAAAACTGTTGCCCTAAAACAATCATTAAATCTTATACCCAAATACCCCTTAAAATCAAGCCAAAAATTCCATCTAACAAGTAGTGTGTCAAGTACTATGCTCTTCTGAGATTTATAAGGGAGTAAATTGACAACAAGTCAAAAGATTAAATAGGAGTCTTCAAGGGTGTAGTGAATTTATGTTAAAGGGGAGAAATAACTCAGAAAAGGAGTATGAAAATGGTCGCACAATATAAAGCATGGGTCCATGTTACTAAGTTGTAATTGAAGAAATTGTTGATATTCTGCTGTGTATATATATATATATCCTCAACGACAAAAAGAAAATACTTTTTTAAAAGCCCTCATTATTCTTGGCAGTACACTTTCCCATTGCCAAAGATGGAAACAACCCCAGTGTCGACACATCAGCTGATAAATGGACACAAAATTAGGTTCATCCACACAGCGGAATAATACTCAGCCACACAGCGGAATAATACTCAGCCACACAGTGGAATAATACTCAGCCATAAAGAGAAGGGGGCTCTGGTGGCCTAGTGGGTAAGAGCTATGCACTGCCAGCCCAGAGGCAGGCGGCTTGAATCCAGCAGCTCCTCCTTGGAAGAAATATGGTCTATTTCTGTGAAAACCCACTGGAGGGTCAGCGGAGTGTGTTTCTGACTTGATGGCAATGAGACTGATAAAAGAGAAATGAAGTTATGACCTTTGCTGTGACACAGACGAACCTTGGAAACACTACAGTGAGTTAAAAGAAGGCAGACAAAATAACAACGTGATGACTCCGTTTATATGAAAAGCCCTCTCTCTTTGTCCTCAAGTTAGAACCAGCTCATAGCTGACCCTCCACTGGGTTTCTGAGAGGAGGAGATTGGCCGTCTCTCGCTGTTGGTTTCAAACTACCAGAGCGATGTGGCCTTTGGCTCAGCAATGTGATTCCTTATGGGTTAGGCCACCACCGCTCCCGATGAAAAGTTCAAACGAGACCGATCACAGGCAGGAAGGAGTTACCGGGTCGGTCGATCGCTGTGGGCTTGGCTGGGAGTGAGGGCAGAGCAACAGTCTGCGGTTGCCTTTGAGGGTCATGAAAATGTTTTGAAACTAGATACCAGTTGTCGGTTGCACAACCCTGCATGTGCTAAATGCGCATCCACGTCAAAGTGTCCCCGTTAATCTGTGATGTGAACTTTACCCCAATAAAATGTAAAAGAACCATCACCACCAAAGCTCAGCCACACTGCTTCCCCCACAGTCCCCACCCTTCTCTTAGGCCTCCATGTCCCCAACTGTGAAATGGGAACAGAAGCACCACTCTGTTGACCACATCCCTGCCCTTCGTCCCCACGGCCCACCACCCACCCCCACCTCTCACCATAGTCTTCTTGTCGGCTTTCTGGACAAAGTAGCCAGTGACCTCACTGTTCCCATTGTCTTTGGGGGGCTGCCACTCAAGCAGGGCATTGGTGCCCCACACCTCTTTCACCATCACGTTCTCTGCTGGCCCTGCCTTTTCTGAGGGAGGGGACGGGCGCATGTCAGTCCCCACCCTTCACTGTCCTACTCACCTACTGTCCCCACACCTGCCCTCCCA